AACATATTTGATAAAGGACTTTTATCCAGAATGTATAAAGACTGTCAAAACTCAAGAAAACAAACAACTCAAATTTAAAAATAGGCAAAACAAATGAACACTTAAGAAAATATTCTGATGTAAAATAAGCCCTTTAAAAGATCTCAACGTGATCAGGAAGATGCAAATTAAAGCTACAGTGAGATACCATTACATACCAATTAGAATGTCTCAAATTAAGACAACTGACCATGTCAGCTCTGCCACAAGTGAGGATGCAAAGCAACTGCAACTCTGTGTGCACTGCAAGTGGGAGTGTAAAATGGAGAAAATACATACCTACCATGTGATACAGTCATTCTACCCATAACTTATTACTCAAGAGTAATGCAAGTATAATTTCATACAAAACTTATAGATGAATGTTCTTAGCAATTTTATTTGTAAGAGCTAAAAACTGAAAGCAACTCAAATGTCCATCAGTGGTTTAAAAATTTATGATATGGAATATTACTAAGAAATGAAAAGGAAATGATCTGTTGTTATATACACGACAATATAGACCAGTCACAAAGTAATTATTCTAAGTGAAAGAAGTCAGGAAAAAAAAATAAATACATACTGTATTATTCAAGTTCTGTAAAATTCTAGAAAATGCAAAGTAACCTATGATGACAGAAAGCTAATCTGTGGTTGCCTGGGTGTAGGGAGAGTAGAGAGAGAGGGATTAAAAATGGGAAGGCGGATACTTTGGGGGATAGTGGATATGTTTGTTATCTTGATTTGGTGATGGTTTCATGAATATCAAAACTTACTAAATTGTTTGCTTTAGATATGTGAAGTTTATGGTATGTCGGATACTTCCATTTTTAATAAAAGTAATGAAGAATGCATGGTGGTTTTTACAAAGTTAAAGGCTCATGCCATGTGATTTTGGCAATTCTTGGTCAACCTCAAAAGTGAGGTTTTGATTGATGAACGAGGTCATGTGGATTTATATTTTTGGTTGTGACCATGTAGATCAGGGGTCCTCAAACTTTTTAAACAGGGGGCCAGTTCACTGTCCCTTAGACCATCGGCGAGTGCGCACTGTGGGCCCGGGATGAGTCGACTGCTAAGCAGGACTGGCAGCGGTGGCAAAAACACCCAGCGGGCCGGATAAATGTTCTAAGTGGGTGGCATGTGGCCTGCAGGCTGTAGTTTGAGGACGCCTGATGTAGATCATTATTAGCTCCAAGAACATAGAGTGAAGAAATGCCATCACAGCACTTTGATGTGTTAATGTGATTAATATGACACCTTGGATGAGTCTTACAATAATTAACACATTTCAGAGTCATTCTTTTCATTTTGTTCTCAAATTTTTGGATCGTAAATATGTTGTCTGAACACTATGTTCGAAGATACACATTCACACTTCAGTTACTTAGTAAATACAGCCATAGACATATTTTAATAAAAGATGATTCTAATTTTTGGGAAAAAAGTCTAATCTCTCATTAAGAGTAAAATAGAGTAAAATCCCACCCATATATTTTAATTTGTATTCGTGGATGCCTATGATCCAAGGACTCCTCAAATCATTTAATGTCCAAAGCCTATGATATATTATCTTCCAATGTGACCAATGAAGAAAAGAGAATTCAGTGACTTCCAGGAATCACAAACCAATTCTGTGACTGCCAATCTCTATATGTATGTGCATCTATGAGTGTGTGTGTATACACATGTACATATGCAACTGCATGCATGGCTGCTGGTCAAGCAAGGTAACAAACAAGACTGAACATAGCACCTTGGGAAGCCAAGGTAAGAGGATCACTGGAGGCCAGGAGTTCAAGACCAGCTTGGGCTACATAGGAGACCTCATCTCTACAAAAAAAAAAAAAAATAGAAACATGTAGGCTTGATGGCATGCACCTGTAGTTCTAGCTGACAGGGAGGCTGAGGCAGGAGGATTGTTTGAGCCTAGGAGTTTGAGGCTGTTGTGAGCTATGACTGTACCACTCTACTCCAGTCTGGTCAACAGAATGAGACTCTGTCTCTATAAAAAAGAAAAGGAAAAAAAAAAAAAAAGACTGAAGACCTTCTTTGGTTCTGTTGCTTATTGAGTTATGTTCTCTTTTTAGTAGCCTTACTTTGCTGTTCCCCCAAAAGGCCAGGTACTGTCATGAAACGGTACTCAGCATCTACTATCCCATAAGCATCTTGCCAAACTCTTGGTATACATTTATTGATCACCACAATACTGAAAGATGGGTAGGAAAACTAGGTTTGCTTGAGTTGACCATCTCATCCAGGGTCATATAGGTAGAAAGTAATGGAAATGCACCTGGAGTATTTGAGGCAGTGAGAGTTGGGTTCTTCTGCAGTTACCTGTGAGACCTTGAACAGGTTACCAACTTGGCACCATCATCTGTAAGAATGATCAAGTTTATATTATAGAGAAGTTGTGTTGCATGTCTCAGAGCACATTATAGGTCTTCAGTAAATATTTTTCCCCTTGACTCTACCCCTTTCTTGTTCTAGATTATTTGCCCCTCCTGGCATATCAGCCTAAAACAGATGAAACTGAGTCCTTCTGGCTGTTGGCCATGCAGTTATGCTTCTAGTACAGATCTTTTCATTAGAAATATGTCTTCTTAGAAAAAGTGAGAGTCATTTGAGAACAGATACCATACCCTCTCATTTGTCTCTCTAAGTGTCCATCACAGGGTCCAGTAGACGCTTGTGAATTGAATGGACAGGTCTCATTCATGAGGTGCTTCACAGAATCTTTAGAGCATTTATTTGTGATGTTTACCTGTATCCCTCTCACCTTCTACCTTCTCTTTGTTTCCACTCCAGAGACTGCTTGATTCCCTGTCACTTGTCCATCTCTGACTTGCAGAGCTCTGGTTTCCCTGGGTGGCATCACCACCTCTGTCTGCATGGCAGCTTGTGGCTGTGACTGCTGTGAGTGCACCACAAAACTGGCCGTGGTGTCTGTGATGGGCCTGTGTCCTGTGCTCAAAAATGCACTCACACCTGGCCAGGTCTCCATCCCTCAGAGACTTCTCTGGACCTTGATGTCATGCTGACATTCTGCTCTGTCTCAACCCAGTTTTTCAGGCTAATATTCTTCATTCAATCAATGAATACACATCACTGTGTTTACAAGCATTATTTTTTTTTACTTCTCTTTTCCTACCTGTTGCATTATCTGGTATCTACCCTTCTAATGCCAGACTGGCATTTCTGTTCTGACTTCCAGTTATCACCCATGATACCACAGAAACCCATTACATTGTTTTATGTATTTCCATTGAGAATATTTAAAATTGTCATTTGCCCCATGGACAAATATCACTATGCGGGGTTCTTTGGTGAATAATTTTGGAGCTGTAACTTCAACATCAATTAGATTACCTCTCTTTGAATATTTTAGCTGTTCTGAGTTTTAGACAACTTTGAGTATTCCAGCCTGTTTCTGGACAGATGCTCTCCTCCCACCCAGTTGCTATTCTTGGCAGTTTGCTTATGAAGGGTCAATAGGCCAAGTTATGTGCCTAATTTAGACAGAAATCCAATAGGAATATAAAGGATGGAGGGTTCAAGGCAGAACTGGAGGATTTCTTCTTGACTCCTTTCATGGATGCCTTCTATGGCTGTGGTCCCCAACCCATAGGCCTCAGACCAGTACCCATCCATGGCCTGTTAGGAACTGGGCCTCACAGTAGGAGGTGAGTGGCGGGTGGGCAAGGGAATCCTCATCTGTATATACAGATGCCCTCCTTTGCTCTCATCACTGCCTGAGCTCTGCCTCCTGTAAGATCAGTGGTGTGGCATTAAATTTTGCATTATGATGAGTTATATAATTATTTCATTATACATTACAATGTAATAATAAGAGAAATAAAGTGTACAATAAGTGTAATGCACTCGAATCATTCCAAAACCATTCCCCACCCACCCCACCCCCCGCCAACCCCTGGTTCCATGGAAAAATTGTCTTCCATGAAACCAGTCCCTGGTGCCAAAAAAATTGGGACTGCTATTTTATAGTATGAGGATTTACATGGATTTCACACTTTCTGTGAGCCTCCTGCCTACTTTTGGAGTTTTTATAAGCTAAACCCAGAGTTTTCCCAGCATGGTGGACATTGCTTATGATCCTGTGCCTGTAAGTTTCTGTAGCCTGGTGGTTGGGTGGGGGCTGTAAAGACACACAAAGGCACTGTGTTTTCTCTCTGACTTTCCTGGCAGACATCTGACTTCCTGGTTGGCACTGGTTTCAACCATGAAATGGGAAAGATGTGAGGGAGTAGACTGGGCATGTTTGTGCTCCTAATTTAAAATGATTCTCCATGAGCATGTCTCACGCTGGCTCGGAGTTTATTGGGGCTCTCTGTAGAGTTCTTGAGGGAGATAGAGCTCATTCAGAATGTGTATTGGGAAGGCTTCTCTGATTGTTGTGGAATTACTGTGACATTTGATTTTCAGGGAAACATATGAAGGAGGCTTACATCCTTGCAGGCAAAATATTTTCCATTCAAACAGACAAAGAAACATTTGAAAGGTCTTTCTTATTTTGTGAATGAACAGATAAAACAATTTACCACTAGGAGGGCTTTTTGTGCATAGGAAATCAATTCAACACCAAGTCAAATGGAGATATTGACTGATCCTGCTGCTGATTTCCTGTGCAATATGGAAGGTGTTTCGACCCTGGCCCAGTTTCTTCCCAGTCCTCCACATTATCTCTTCTGTGTGCTTGTGTGTTTGAGCATGTCTAGCTCCAAAATCCAAATAAAGTATTGACTATAATTATACTTCACAAATGGCAGAAGAACACTTTAATATGGTCTTGCAGAAAATAATTTTATTATGTAAAGAGTGACAATTTAATCTCATATTATGGGTTTTGGTGTTTTTTTCATGTGCCATGATTATTTGGTGCAGTCCTCTGGAATTTGGGGTTGTTTACCAAAAATGCCTTCCCATTTTGCTAAAGCAGTCCCCCTCTCTCTGCTTTCTCTCAGGGATCATCACTGCTGCAGACATCCTTGATCGGGAGACAACAGGTTCATACTGGCTGACGGTATACGCCACAGACCGGGGCGTTGTTCCACTCTATTCCACCATTGAGGTCTACATTGAGGTCGAAGATGTGAATGACAATGCCCCACTGACCTCGAACTATTTACTATCCCGTTGTCATGGAAAACTCTCCAAAGGATGTATCTGTCATTCAGATCCAGGCTGAAGATCCTGACTCTAGTTCCAGGGAAAAACTGACATACAGAATTACAAGTGGGAATCCTCAGAATTTTTTTGCCATCAATATCAAAACAGGTAAGGAAATGCCCTTATGACTTTTTTTGGTTGGTACTCCAGCTTTTAAATTCATCAGTCTGACACCTGCTGTATCCGCTTATTTATTTTATTGTCTAAAGAATAGCATCCTCCTTCCTGAGACGTAATTTCTAAAAAGCTGAACTTGCCTTCTGTCTGTTTGGTGTGTTTTAATCTCATCTGACACTGAGGTTAAGCGATCAAGAAGCTTTCACAGAAAGCCTTAGACTTATTTTACTCATAATAACAAAATGTGGCTCCCAGACCACTCAGAGAGCCAATTGCTTCCTTTTGTTTCTTGGAAGAGAGTGATCTGTGCTGGGTCTTTGGGTAAGTTGGCTTTGATACCTCTGCCTGGAGGAACTTCTCCCTTGCTTGGCCTCAGTCTGGCTTGCTGTGAATGACCTCCTTAAAGCCTTTAACTTTAAGCCCCATATTTTTTTTGTGATTCTTTTGTTATCCATCAATGAAGTGTCAATGTTCAGAAGAACTTCCAATATCTCAATTTTTACATAAAATATGTAAAAATTTAATTTTCTGTTCTTTTGCTCAAAAATTTCTAGAGATTGTAATGAAAACTTAAGTTTTTGTTTAAGGCTCAGAAAGGCCTAAGGCTCAGTAGCAGGTGTGGAGTTTGGTTGAATGCATTCTGATACAAGCACGTACACTGGAAAAGTGCTTTGCAGAATAAATCTTAGAGGTTCGCTGCTTTCTTGCAATTTGTCTCTTTTAGAGCTAAACGAGATTTTAACACTCAGTGTTGTGATGGATGGGGTTTTAATTTGTTGAAATTTAGAATAAAAATTTTATTTCACCCTGGGCAAGTGAGTTAATTACTTTTCAAAAGTTAGGCTAGGTTGGTATTTGTTGGTGTGGATAGACTCAACTTTCCTGACAAACTACTGATCTAGTTGACAGTTATTTCTCCTGCCTGTATCTGTTAAAGTGGAAACATACAGCTGATCCCAAGCATTTTATAAATGTCAGATTTCCATTAACATGATTGGAAGACAATAGTAGGGTTTTTTCCCCCAAAACTATTGATTTTCTCTTCTAATGAGTAGGTTAGTCATTTTGCTAAGCAGACTTCTGCATTCTAACATTGTTGAATCAGGATTTGACTTCTGTTTCCCTGTTAGACAAAGGGTCATCAGATTTCGGTGTCTTGAGTGAAGCCTGTCTGTGCTTCAAGGAGAAGGCTCAGAGATTTGGAGCCTGGCCCAACCTTTCAGAGCCCTAGTAAGTGGGGAAACTATCCACACACCTGAGAAAGGACACACACAGGGCCTCCCCCTGCTGGGAAGCCCCCGCCTTCTGATTCGCTCTTGCTATAGCAAAAAGTTCCTTGAATGTGGCCAGATAAATGAATTCAGTCACTTTACAAATTCAGGAGTGAGGGTAAGGGAGGAGGGGGAGAGAGAACAAAGACAAAAAAAATATGTCAGTAAAGAAGTTGAGGGCACAGACACCTTCACATGTTGCAGCCCAGTGAGTCTGAAACACCCCCAGATTATCCATCTTCTATCTGAACTCATTGCCACTTGAGTCATTAATGGTTAGTCCAGGATTCACTTTTTAACAAGTTAAAAGACACTGCAAAAGGAAAGTTTCAACTATTCTTTTCCTCCACTTAGTACTGAAAATAAAGACAGGATAACTGTCAGAAGAAAGAATTTGGGTTGGATGCAAAGAAGAACTTAGCCTACATTAATTGCAAGGAAGAACATGTACACTCATGTCACTTAGAGCTTTCTTATATTCAGCTTTTGAGAGTTTGCACATGAACTTTCAGAAAGCCCTATACTATCACAATTTGGCCTACATTGCATAATAAGAGCCTTAATCATATTCATAATTACTCTGTTCTTGCCATATATTTTTTAAAAGTGTTTGTGCCAAGAATGTCATTTTTGTCTAACTTGTCTGATGATCTAAAAGAAATAGCATTCTTTATAGTTCTCAGTCACATAATAAGACAATCCTGGATTTTCTTTATCTATTTATTCAATCACCAAGTGTTTATTATACTTATTACTTTTCACACAAAATCTAATAAATAGGGTTATAAACTGAAGATATGGTTCAAGAGAGTCAGGGACCCAAAATTATAATTATGAAATTATAATTATAATTATGAAATTATAATTATAATTATGAAATTATAATTATGAAATTAACAAATACTTATGATAGTTTGAAAAAGTACAGCAGTTGATCATGGTAGGAGAGCTTCACTCAATATGGGGTTAGAGTGATGGTCAGGGAGGACTCCCTGGAGAAAGCCACATTTGGAGTTAGAAGTCCTGAGTTTCAAGTCCTTGCTATGCATGTCCTAACTTGGAAACATCATAGACCACAATGGAGAAAACAGACTGAATCAGTCAGTCTTGACCTCACCAGCTTCAAGACCTTGGGCAAGTTATTGAATCTCTGAAATTCAGTTTTCAGTGAGAAAGGATTGTTGCAAGGAGTATAGGAGCCCTCACCTGAAATGCTTTTGCACAGTGCCTGGCGCAATGAAATCCCACAGCAAAACTTGATACCTCAGCCTTACTACTTTACTGTAATCACAGGCATGTCGTTTAATCTCTTTGGCCCTCAGTTTCTCATTTGGAAAATGAGAATGACCTTGCTCACTCCACATGAGGAGTGAATACCATGATGTGTTTGAAGGCTGCTGGTTACCTAGTATTACTATGCCTGTTTCTAATGAGATTCACAGAACCACAAGCCTGTTGAAATTCTTGCTAGAATGTTTTCTGAGTATCATGTTGCCTATAGAATGAACTTCAGCCAGCTCAACGAACTGTCTAATAGAAGCCTTAATTTTTGGCATTCCCTCCTGTCTCTCTAAAGTTATTTTTATGAAATAGTTATGTCAATATAACATTTTTCAGTAATGAAGCAGGAGGTGTAGCTAAGCAGTATATTTAGGAAAGATTTATGCTTTCAATTTTTTCAACTAGATGTTGACTCTAGTAAACTGACCTTTTATTTCTTCCTTGGCAGTAGAGTTGGAATTTATAGAGTTTTGTTTTGTTTTGGCAATGTGCTACATAATAAAAATTAAAATAATTAAAGCAAACTCACATAATGTCAATACTTACACTTTACAGCTTGTAGCAGATAACAGATGTACCCAACCCCAAAATGGAGAGATTTCTCTCTTGAACACTCTGTTCTCTGCCCAAAGAACCATTTGGTTTTTTTCCTCCTAGACGTACAATCACAATCAGTAGTCTGTGGACTTTGTCACTAATTCCCATGGCTTAAGAAGAAAAACAAAAGCTGTGAAGCTATAAGGTGTTTTCTGGCCTGTACAGAGAAACCTTGATTATTTCCAGGCTGAGCAGTTGAATTCAATCAAATGCAGCCTACCCACTTGTTCTGAGGAGACACGCTGGTGTTTGCTTGCCTATTTGGGTGAGCAGGAATTTTGCTTTCTTTCAGCACGTGTTAGGAAATCCAAGCTGGCTTCTCATTTGTCCTCCACGCTGAAGTGGGGAACAGAGATGTGATGTTCCTCCGGAATGTTTATTTCAGTCATGTCTACAGTGTGGAAATCACTTAGCACAGGGTCCACGTGCCAGCATTTAGTAGAACGCTCAATAAATGTTAGCTGTTATCATCCCTTATTCTCCACTAGGAAAAAGTTTGTGTAAGCTATAAGCATCCTGCTTTGGGACTTCGCTGTCTTTTGAGGACGGCATCCTTGAAAGGCAGTGACACCTTGCCTTATTAGTTGGCATGTAGCACTGGGACCTTCTATTCAGTTTTGTAAAGTGCATTGTGCACTGCTGTTGATCTCTAGACCCCAGGTGTTGGTGGGTGGAGGATACAACAGAAGTACAGTGTAAGACAGTTCTGCACTCAGGGATTTTAGTCTCATGGGAAAGGTAGGACCATCACACATATGATATACTTATGAGACAACTGTATAGGGCAGTTTATTTAAAAAACAAAAACAACAACTACCATAAACGATTGAACTCTGAGGACTATCAACTGCACAGGGCAGCAGGTCAGAGCCCGAGCGGGGCGGGGTGGGGGTGGGAGCTTAGCAGACCTGAAGGGGGGGCCCTACAGAATGGGTCAATCTGCAGAGAGAGAAGCCAGAGGACTCCCCAGGGAATATAAACAAGTGAAGCTGACTTTGAAAGCCCATTTGTTGCCACTTGAGTTAGTTGAAGAGGCATTATCTCACTACAAAACTAATTTTTAAAGAGTCATAAATGTCTGGAGTGTGGTAAGAGAAGTAACAAATACACACATCTCTTTTTCTTTTAGGTCGGGGTTTGATAATGTTTAGATTTTAAAGGGTCTTTTATTATTATCTTCCTTCCGAGAGGCTTACTTCTTAAAAGAATTATTTTTAGAGGGAAGGGAACCCATACATAAGACCCCTTACTCTTTCCTTTGCCTCTGTAAAACATAGATCCAGAATTGGCACCTTCTGTGTTAAGAGCCTGTGTCTGTAAATGGACCCTTGCTTAAGGGATCTATCGATGGCTCCTATTCTAGCGCTTGGACTTTCTAAATTTCTTTCTGCAGTTGCTCTGTCTCCCTTTGACCCACACATGTTCACTGGCACCTCCACCTGTATTTGAGTGGAGGTGAAGCTTAGCCTTCTTTTCCTTTCTGAGAGCATCTTGGGATAAACCCAAGTAAAGTATACTTTATGTGTAAGTAGACTAGCTGGCCCCCTCTGCTGCTCCAGATGATTTGAGAGGAAGAAATCATCTTCAAGAATGTGTCTGCTGCAGGAAAACCTCAGATTCTCCCTTTCACTGTTGGTTACCTTGGGTGTAGACATTGCTCCCTAAAAATGGGAGGAGGTAGCTTATTAAAATGTTGGATATCCTTAGTGTTTTCAGTGTTTTTTTTTTTTTTTTTTTTTTTGAGACAGAGTCTCACTCTGATGCCCCAACTAGAGTGCCATGGTGTCAGCCTAGCTCACAGCAACCTCAAACTCCTGGGCTCAAGCAATCCTCCTGCCTCAG